ACTGGCTAGTAAAGCCACAAACAGGGAAAAGTCTATGCACTATTAACAGCTTGGTAAGTTAGTACCGACGGTTTATTCCCAATTGTGCCTCTCTGATTCAGCCGGTGGCACAGTGGGTAGGACTCTCGAAGACCATGCACATGTTCTGGGGTTCGATCCCCTGCCAAGGCACACCCGATATTGGCCTGCAAAATTTGGGCTACCGATATCCATGCTGAAAATTCCATACTTGTACTGAAAATACGGTGTGGCATCAAGCTGTAATCAAAAATAAATAAACTGACCTTCTTCGTGTAAATGACAAGTCCAGCGAACTCGACGCGTCTACTCAAAATGCTTTCACTTGGGTTAAAAAAGCTATCGCGGATGCCATCTTTGTTATATATCAGGATCCAACGACACCGATAGGTATCTCGGTTGATTCATCAGACACTGCGATCTGCGCAGTTCCGCAACAACTAGACAGCACAGAGTGGCAACCACTCGCCATTTTCTCGAGGCGCCTACAATTAGCAGAAACGAAGTACAGTACATTCCGGAGAGAGCTTCTAGCTATGTTCGGTGCTATACGTCATTTTCGACATTCAATGGAGGGTCGTGAATTGATAATTTTCACCAACCACATATTTATGACGTACTCCATCAACTCAGCTTCAGATAAGTATTCACCGGGACAATCATGAAAACTGGACTACGTTTCAAGGTTTACATCGGATATTCGCCATGTATTTGGAGTTAGCAACGCTGTGGCAGATGCATTGTCGTGCATTTGTTCCCTCGTCTAAATGTATGGCATAGACTTTGTGAGACTGGCTAGTCTTCAAAAAGTAGATACTGAGCTTCAATATGCGTTGTTGAAAACAACTCTGCAATTATCCGAGAAACCCTTAGGTGTGGGGAAAGATACTATGTGACATTCCCACGAGTACTCCTCACCTCATCGTGCCGTGACGTGTTCAATGCGTTGCAGGACTTGTCCTACCAGATATTTGAACTACCGTCAAGCTCGTAACTAATCGGTTTAGTTGGCCTGATGGGATTATGTTTTTGAGCCCTTGATTCACTGCTCAAGCAATCAAACCTGATATTGGCAATTCCATGAATGATTCTCCAACTTTTTCATATATTTGGCCGCTGAAGTGGAAGCACGTTATTAGGCACAGGTTTATGCATTCCATCCATATATAAAAGACAACAGATAAATCACTGCAAGACTCTTCAAACTTTTAGGAATTGACGTTGCACACAAACCAACAAAATCACTTCACTCAGCTCTATGTCAACCAAAAGACTCAAAATAGAAAGAAGACAAAAACAGCATCATCTACAAAGTAAATTATAGCAACTGCGAAAAACACTACACTGGCCAAAGTGGACGTCCTCTTCGTCTTTGTATCCATGATCATAAACTAGCCGTCAGAAGACATGACATCCACTCCGTCATATCGCCGCATACAGAAAGCCGGGGACATCAATTCGAGTGGGACAACGTTCAAATATTAGACAGAGGAAACACCAGGAATTCCAGAGAATTTTTGGAAGCCTGATATTCCAGTCAGATTCAGATTCAGATTTATTGGTTGAGGATAGAAGGCTTGGAGCCTATGTTAATCCTTTTCTAGTAAATTTCTGTGGTTGTCCAAACCCTTCTTGGACGAATCAACTGAGGTTGCAGACACCACTTCTTCTGGGAGTCGGTTCCAAGAGTTTATGACTCGGTGTGAGAACCAGTACTCAACAGCAATATGATTTCTTCTTTGCTTTTGAACTCTCCTGCTATGTCCTCTAAGGTGTTCCGACCTGGTGGGAAGGAAAAGAGAAAATAGGTCAGGTACGTAGTCATTATTTAAAATTTTAAACATTGTGATTGAATCTCCTCTCTGCCTACGGTATGACAAGGAGAAGAGATTTAAACTGTCTAGTCTTTCCTCCTATGATAAGTTAGTCATGCCATGAATCATACGTGTTGCTTTCCTTTGAACCCTTTCTAGAATAAGTGAGTCCCCTTTTAGACAAGGGCTGGCGGCCTGGATGCAGTTTTCCAGTCTTGACCTCACCAGAGATGTATATAAGGAGGTGAACATATCTCTGGTGATTCTAGTGAAGGCTCTACGAATTGCCCATAATGACCTGAAACTGCGTGCAGCCACCGCGCGACAGTGTGCTGTAGTTTTTAAGTCGTGGCTAACTATGACACCTAAGTCCAAGTGAGTCTGAACTGATGGAAGTGTAATTCCCTCAAGTTCATAAGAGCTCGTGCTTGCTTGTCCAATTCGCATGGTTGCACATTTTGCCACATTTATCGGGAGAATCCATTCTATGGACCACTCTGACAATTTGTTGTGGTCCTCTTGCAACATGGACGCGTCACTGTTGCCCTTCAGCTCTCTCCAAATTTTTAAGTCATCTGCGTATAGGACCATAGGGGAGTCGGTGAGCAGAGATAACTCATTGATATACGAAATAAATAGGAGAAGTCCGAGAACCGTGCCTTGTGGCACTCCGCTGCGTACTGCTTTCCAAGAGGAGAGTTTCGAGTTGATCCTAACCCTCTGCCTCCTATCTATGAGGAATTCCCTGAGCCAGTTTAGTAAGCTGCCTTTGATACCAAGACTTTCCAACTTCATGAGTAGTCTTTTGTGAGGTACATTATCAAAGGCTTTGCTGAAGTCTATGAAGACGACGTCAACGGTCTTCTGTTGTCCCTGGATTTGACCCAGCTTTCCCTTGCAGTGAGAAGATTTGACAGGCATGAGAGGTTCCTTCGGAAGCCATGCTGTGCTCTTGATAATAAGCGTCTATTTTCTAGATATGCCATCATGCTTTTCTTGATGATTCTCTCCAGTGTCTTAATTAAAGTGCTGGTGAGACTGATAGGCCTGTAATTTGAAGGGCTTTGTCTTGATCCGCCTTTGTGGATGGGAGTTACTATGGCGTCTTTCCAGTCACGCGGTAACACTCCATTTTGGAGAGAAAGCTTGAAGATCGTAGTCAAAGGGCCGGCTATGTGGACTGATAACTCCTTGAGAAGCCTTGGGTGAAGATTATCAGGACCCATTGATTTCCCTGCATCTAGTTTCCTTAGGCAGTTGAGCACGATGCCTTGGTCGGTATCAACGGAATCTATCCCATGTTCTTCTGATGCAGCCAGAGCTGATCCGGTAGGCAGTGACGACTCCTGAGTGAAGACTTGGGAGAAGTAGTTTGCCATTGCTTCTGCTTTTTCTTGATCTTCTTCGATTGTATCATTGTCAATAGTCAGGTTTGGGACACCATTGGGTATTTTATTCCTGAAGTTCATGTATGAGAAAATTTTCTTAGGTTGTGCCTTTGCATTTTGAGCCAGGTGTGCTTCGAATTTCATCCTTGATTTGCGGATTTGTGCAATAGCTTTATTTCTAGCAGTGTTATATAATTGCCTGGTCTCAGAAGTCTCAAGTGTGGCAAACAAGTTCCAACATTTGTGTTTACGTCTAAGTATCTTACGAATCTCTCTGTTTATCCAAGGAGGGCAGTGTTTCCGACCCTTTGGGACAGACCGAGGGATGAAAGGTTCAGTTACTTGGGCGTAAAGTTGTTTAAATTGGTTCCATGCGGCTTCTACTTGAGACTCTGGGTTGATGTACCAGTTTACTGAGTTGGCTGCTGAGACGATTGCATTTATATCAGCTTTCCAAACGTTTGGTCGAGATGAGGTTTTGGCCCTTGCTGCCGTTGCTGTGAACTTGAAAGTGAGCACAGCATGGTCACTTCTTCCCAAAGGAGGAAGTCAATCGTCGATCAATAGACACATCGACACAGACAAAATTTACCAGTCAATAAGAAGGAAATCTCATGCACAAAAGGTCAAAGTCTAGGTAAATCAAACAATCAATATCAATACAAATACAAATAGCCTAAAGGGTGTGAAATCACACGAAAACAAACAGTCACGTTCAACGTCACCAGGAGAAATGACCAATGAAATTGTGGAGAAACCTAAAAGCCTAATTCAAATTGACGTATGCGCTGAAGATGTTACTTAGTAGGGCAATGAAAGCTTCGCAAATAAACCATCTAGCTCAGAGAACACAACTGCATCAAAATCAACCACCTGAGCTACAAATCTCCATCGAGACTCTTATACCTTGTTATTTATTATTGTTTTCTCCCTATTTGGCCACACTGGACGAATAACGAATTAGGCGATCATTTATATTCACAGAAGCAACCGTTCATAACATTTAACTTGCTTCAGACTACAAGTGACCAATCCCAGATTCAGATTCAGTTGATAAGGATAGAAGGCTCTTGTGGCCTGTGTTAATCCTTGCAAAATATATCTCCGCAGAGATCTAACTTCTCTTTGAAAGCGTTCACCGTTGGAGCTGTTGCTACTGAATCAGGTAAGGAGTTCCAGTCGTTGACCACTGTGAGAGAATCTAAATTCTGCACGTATTTTAATCGTCCTCGGTTTGAGCACCTTTTTGCGGTGACCCCGTAAATGTATCCTAGAAGGAGAGAAAAGTTTAGAAAGGTCAGTTCCTAAATCACCCTTAAGTAAACGGTATGCTAAAATTAAGTCGCCTCTCTTCCTTCGGTATGATAACGGAAAGAGGTTTAAATGCTCCATCCTCTTATCATAAGGAAGGTGTGAGATACCACTAACTAATTTCGTTCCTACTCTCTGTACTCTTCCCAGCACCACTCTACTTGGATTCAACCAAACTTACGTCGATCGTGTGGCAAAACACACTAGTTAATTTCACAAATATCAGCAACCCTTACCTTACAACCAAGAGACAGTGTAGTGGTTCAAATTTTGAAAGAAAGCGTCAGTTCAAAAACCGGTGGACGCTGAACTGAAATAGCCTAGATCTTTGTACCTACATGTATATAATTTTTGGACTTCTGTTGGTGTAATTCAGTGTCAATTATAAAGTGCTTTTTCTCAAGTCGTGTTCTGCTTCTCCGCTCTACCCTACGTGCTTGACCTGTGTAACTGTTTGTGTTCTATTACAGATACGAAATGTTCAATTTGATTTACTGCAGTTTGCCCCCTCAAGGTCACATCGTGAGTTGTAGATTTCGAACATTCTCTCTGTAGCACTATTTTTAGTGTATAGTCTTGTATTTTTCCGCATATGTAAGCCATGTCAGTGTTTCCTGGAAGATATAGGTAGACCTCGCCTGATAACCCTAATGCAATCGTTACAGTTAACTCATAAGCCTAACTTAAACCCCAAAATCACATTCCTGTTGGACGCGTGCTACTTAGTAATAATAATAATGATTTACTTCAGACATTTCCCTATACAATTTGTCAACAGAATGTAGAGTTTCCACAGTCATTTTATCGCATTTGACACCTCATTATTTATGTTGTCCATTTGTTTTATTCGTCATTTTATTTTCCTTACATGTTTTACAAAGTTCACATGTTAACGCAGGTCAAACATCAAACGGGTTTCACTGGATGTTGTAAGTGTCCCTGTCGATGCATACTGCTGAGCACTAATCTGATGACTCTGGGATAGGCCTCCAGCTTAATGGCCTCGCACTGAGCGCCAGTGCCGAAGTTGCATCACACTATTAGATACCCATAGACAGTCGTTATGTTAGGTATTGTTAAAACAAGGGCCAACGGCTCAGAGAAGCCTTAACTTTGCATTTTTACCCATGCACCGATGAACTGCAGCTCAAATATAAATAGGGATGACAATCGATAGAGTGAACGGCAAATGCAAGCGTCTAACAGACATCGTAGTAGTACTCAGAAAATTATTTCCTAGTTCTGAACGTCTAGGCTAAAGGAGGGACTCAGGGGGGTCAATCTTAGAGAGGTCACAGGTTGGATATTGTAATCCGTCTTTCGTAGACTACACAAATCACCACATATATGCAACCAGCACCGACCTCAAACACCCGGAACCGTAGTTTCATCACTTGCTTGTAAACTCACATTGGTCAAGGTGGCTTTTGCTACCGATGTTGTGTACATACAGGACTACCGCTCTTTTCATATTACCCGACTGATTTCTAGTCAGGCTCTAGTTCAAGGTAGTAATCATCGATTTCATTCTAGAAATTTTGACGTAATCGGACTGGTTTCACCTGCTACCGAATGTCAAACCCAACTAAACTGAGCTAACCACTAACCCTCGAGATAGTACAACAATTGTTGGACTTTTAGAAAACAGTGTGTCAGCGAAACAGAACCCAACATCTAATCTGAAACTCTGGGCTGAATAAGTTAGCTTGGCCACTTCGCCAGCACTTAATATTCTAAGTTAAAGTGCTCCAAGTTCGATTAACACCAATCCACCTGACGAAGCGGAGGTACGAAAGGAATGCATACACAAAACTGGCATAGTTCACAAACAACTAACTCCGTCACTTTTTAAAAGCTGGGGTGAGACTAGTCACAACTGACTGGAGAACAGGGGAAGATGAGTATTCCACCAATGTGGAATAAGGCGACCATTGTGCCTATCGTTGAAAGAAGCCTACGTAATCTATATGACAATAATCAAGATAGTAGTCCGTTGCCAATTATACGATTGTTGTTTACACACAGTGAAAGCTGGTTTTAGAAATATTTCGATCTTAATAACCTAAGGTGTCCAACAGTTGGTACTGTTTCTAATTCACACACTTCTAACTGGCAGTAATACATTTGGTGCTTTTATGTTGTGTTAACTCAATTTTTTGTATCTAGGATTGCTCCTGTTTGTCAATAATTGTACAGAGTCACCTATGTTGCATGTGTTTGTAGTGATATTTATCAATATAGATTCCATCAATCTTTTGTTCCATTTGTTCATATAGGATTTCAAAACGTAAATGTCCCAATCAATTTCATGTTTTACTTCTCATTCATATGCAGCTATAAACAAGTTTTCTTCTAAATTACTGTACACTTCTGTTCCTCTAAGATGACACATTTAAGCGTTTAGGATGGTTCACTCTAGTTTCCAGTGATCCACACGTTTGACCCAAATACCTCACTGGTTATTTAGCATAGGATATGCTTTGAATTGCATTGTGCCCAGTATTTTCATTGGTTATCTTGGTCAATTTAATTTCTTAATTGGATTCATTGGTTTTAAAGTGATACAATTACCTCTTCTTCGACTCCTTGAGTTTCAACACAGAGATGCAGCAGTTCATCTTGCCAAACACCATGTAGCACACAAACGTAGACAAAAAACTAACAAAGAGTATTCAAAAGGCTTACGATGAGTAGAAATCTGAGGGAGAAAGATTAGTAACATGGAGTTAGATAATAGTTTAACGGACATGAGAGGTGTCAAAGAGTGCATGCATCTCCGACACTGAGAACGATTTCGAGCCATATATCTATCACCGATAATCTCCGACCACTGGTTCCTAGTATTCTGAGGACCTCATCCAGACAGTCTACACCTCCCTACGTGGCTCCAAGGGTTTCTTGAACTGATGCTAAGTCCAACCTAATCTTATGCTAGCTGTCATAGCCCGTCGTGGAAGGTAATGACTCGGCGTTCACAGTACGTGTCCTAGCCATCGCAACTGATATGATGCCATAACTTTATGGATTGACTTACTCTCTTTACCTAACAGTCGATGTCTAACCTCAGTCGCCACTACTCGCCATATTATACCACCTAAAAAGAGACAAAACACAGACATATTCAAAAACAGCTGACCTTTTCATATCTTCCATTTTCCAAGGCGATGTCTCACAGCCGTAAAGGAGGATGAAGTGAACTGCTGAGCAGTACATATGTCCTTTTCATTGGTAGCCAGATATCACATCTACACCAAAGATGACGTAGGTTGGCAAACGCCAAACCTTTTGTATCTGTGTTGGGATTTTGTCAGCAATCACTCCGTTGAAGCTGATGCAACTTCCCAAATACGTGAAGTGGCCAGCACACACTATCGCTTCACTCCCTATTCTCAAGATAGAGGACCTTTAAGGTAGGTTATAAACGGTGGGTATATTGAGCTTGGCTGTAGACCAGTTAAGTTGCTCCTTGAAATGTTTCTTCCAATGTTCCAGCTTTCTGTCCTGGGAGCTAATTAGGGCTCCATTTTTCTCGGAGACTGACTTATCAGTTGTGTTTTGCCAGCTGTTTTTTCATAGGCCTAAATAGTCGTCTGGTATTACTTATCGCTGATGCCTTTTCCATCTCTTTCACCTCCGTCGCCCACCACTTTTCACCGTCGTTGTGAGAACTTTTTTGTTTGAGCAGGTACCACTCCTCATCATGTTCGGAGCGCGCCTAATTACTCGCGTACACTCAATATAAAAACAAGACAAGTAGTTCGGCGAATTCATTTTTGGCAGTACAATCGCATTTATACACAGCTTTTTCTGTGAAAGCGGATAGTAACAAAGGTTACGAGTTGTCACAAATACCATGTATTCATCTTTGCTGTATATGAGTTATGTGTGAGATTAGTGCTAATTTCAGTTTTTGTCTTGTGGTATAGACACGTTGTATAATATATGATACTTTAATCCTTTATGGCTACTTTTTTTTTACCGTGTTATAGTATTTAATTAGTTGTATACTCATATCGGAGCACATCTGTATAAGCTTTCACTTTATTTTATCAAACTGCTTCAGCGCCATACTTGTACGCATAAATATTTTTGCCTTTTTTTTTATCTAGCTCCTAACCGCCACAAGATTATTTTTGTCGCAGTTTCACCGCACATCATTTCGCACAATGGATATTGTAATTATTCCTGCTCTGTCTGATAATTACATGTATTTGGTTATTGACAAAGCTACAAAAGTAAGTTATCACATATTGATTTTTGCACGACTTTTATAGTATATTAAGAAATGTATACATTATACTATCCTGGCAATCTATTCCATCTTTTTCTCACAGAAATGATGTTCAGCTATGTACCAGAAACGCGTGTGTCCTTCAGTAGTCCTGTATTACAATCACTAGGCATAATCAATCAAAAGTAGAAAGGAATAAAAAGATTATCTGCTTTTGTTTTTCGAATCGAAGTGTATCCATTTGGTTGTGCACATGATAAATAATATTGAGAGTAAAATACTATCAGGAAGTGACCGACTGCTGGCTGGCTGGGTTCAACATAGAACTTGGCACCGAAGTACAGCAGTTCGAGTTGCCACGTTCCAAATAGCACACAAAGGTAGACAAGAAAATGAGTGGAGAGAATCAAGTGAGTGAGTATAAGAGTGAAACAGAATGAGTAATGGTAGAAAGGAATATGAAAGATTACAGAGACTGAATACATCTGCGTAAGCCATTGACAACGATTTTGAGCCATGTCACCTAGTGTCTCCAGCCATTGATTCTTAGAGTCCCGAGGGCCCCAACCTGGAAGGAGTCTGCATCTCCCTACCTGACTCAGTTTAACTGTCAGGGATTTCATGGATTGATGAGGCCATATTTTTGTTTGGCCACTATGAGAATATGCATTCATTGCGTATTACCATCGAAATTTAAAAGTTATACCTGTCTTTATTTAACTGTTCTTTTTGCTCCATCCCTTTACTTTGTAACATTTCGTTAAGTAGAGTAGCCTGGAATTCACTTCCAACTACAGTTTTTAAGTTGATGTATTCCCAACAATTATTATTATTATTGTTATTATTAATCCCTTGGGTTCCGAGTGGAACATAAAGCTTCAATAGCACATCTCCATTCCACTCTATTTTCTTCAGTCTTTTGTAGCTGGTTCCACCACTCCCCAGAAGTTCTCATCTCCTCCATGTCACCCACGAACACTCAACTCATCGTTTCCTATTCGGATTCCACTGGAGCAATGGCCTATCGCACTATGTGTGTTAGATTCAACGCCGTTTCCTTTGGGATATTGTCAGGCGATAGATTATTGGTTGGTTCGTTCCCAGAGTTTCTTATTGTTTATCCTTTCGGGCCATTGAATTTCCACTATCAGGGCATAGATAGCAGCTGTGGATTAAAGTTTCCAGTAGCTTGTCGGAAATGCTTTTAGTGAATCTCGCGCCAACTGTCTTGTCTGAACCGTATAGAACAGCTAACTGACTTAGCGTTAGTGTTAAAATATTCTGAATCCTTTCCTTTGTGATTAGTGTTGTAGACTTCTACACTGATTTCGTGGTAATGAATGCCTGTCTTGCCTTTGTGATCCTACCTTTGACATCGCCATTCCATCCGCCTACAGTGGAAACTGTGCTGTGTAAATAAGTAAAATTAGTGACCTTGTTCAAACTTCTTCCGCTGATAGTGATTGGTGCTGGTTATTGTTGGTTAATCATCAACATCATCACCTCTATTTTGTCTGTGTTCACTTAAATTCCCGTCTGTCTTCTCCACTAACTTGTTGATTTTTGCCTGTAGGTCTTCGAGTTTGTACATAAATTATCCGCGAAGTTCAGGTCATCTAGAGTCTTCTTATCGGTCCAACGTATGCCTGTTTACTCAATTCTACGCATGATCTGTTGCATGATACAATCCACCACACTCGGAAGCATCATCGATAATGGTAGATGGCCTTGTCTGACTTCTGCCTTCACTTCAAACGCCTCTCTCTGAGCTTTCCGTTGTGAATCATCTTACATGTGACATTGTCATATAGTTGTTGAGTGAGGTTGAGATAGGTTTGAGATACTCTGTAGGGTAATTGAAGCAGTTTCACGGTCAGCACTGTCGAAGGGCTTTTCGAAGCTCGTGAAGTTGATGTAGAGATTCGACTGCCACCCCCCTATGCTCTGTTCGGCGATGACGCGCAGCGGTGCAATTTAATCCGCATATTACTTGCTTTTTGCCTGTATCCAACTTGGATGTATTTCATAGTTATAATCTGTTTGTAATGTTTTTTAAAACAAATTGTAGGAATGTTTAAGAGAAGTCTGTTAACATATTTCTGCTTATCAGCCTCGCATCACTAGCCGAACTAGATAATCTTTACTTCACACTTAGAGGAAATCATTTAATGTGATTTTATTGTGGTGAATTAACCGTCTTTGGCTTAAGTTGTACAACTTTTTAGAGTCACTGATGTAATTAATCAATCCAGTATACAGATGACTTTGTTATCATGCTCTGCTGTACTTATTCTATCTGATTATATCTAGGCATGTGCAGCTGTCGATCCAGTCGAAGCTGACAAAATTTTGCAAATAGTCAAAACCGGTGGATTAACTCTTACCACTATACTAACAACTCATCATCATTATGACCACGCTGGTGGGAATGTTGATCTTGTTAAGAAATGCAAAGAAGAAGGATTTGGACCGCTGAAGGTGTACGGTGGTGATGATCGTATCGGTGGTTTGACAGATACTGTATCCCATGGTGACAAACTGAAAATTGGTAAGAAACTCAATGTTAAATGTTTGGCTACACCGTGTCATACTACTGGCCATATTTGTTATTATATTACTGAAGAAGATAGCATGCAAGATGGTGCTGTTTTTACTGGTGATACATTATTTCTTGGAGGATGTGGCAGATTCTTTGAAGGCACTGCTGAGCAAATGTAAGTGTCTTTCTGTAACAAAATTTTTTTCAATAAGTTCACGTAAACTAAAGGCAATACTTGTGCTGTTTTTAAATATAATTCCATGCTGAATTGTTTACCTCATGTGGCAAACAATGATACTAATTCCATTCCTGTTGGTTAAAGAATTTCCTGGGAATTTGGGAAAAATGTTAAGTCGTTCCTGTTGTGTGCGCATTGTTTTACCCTGGAGCAGAATTATGTATGAGTCAACACATCTGTCTTTTTGAGTTTATTAGGTGGCAAAATGCAGCTTCTGATCGCCATAAGATAACGCCTGAGTATTTGTGGTAGGTGGCTCACTTCTTTCAGGTGTACAATGATGCTTTAGGTTTGGTATTCTCGGACTACTAGTTAAGTGATAGGGGCAGAGTTGCACTAACCTTTTGACAGTTTGTTTGAACCACGTGAGGAGATGTAGACTGGCTGGATGAGGTCTTCAGAATACTAAGAATCAATGGTCGGAGATGCATTCACTCTTTGTCACCTCTCATGTCCGTTAAACGATTATCTAACTCCATGTTACTATTCTTTATCCCTCAGATTTCTACTCATCGTAAGCCTTTTAAGTACTCTTTGTTGTTTTTTTTGTCTGTCTACGTTTGTGTGCTACATGGTGTTTGGCATTTCTGTGCTAAGTTCTGTGTTGAAACTCAGTCAGCACAAGCCCTAATCAATCTGGTTTTTGACAATGCCTCAGCACTGGTACGAAACGCTCATTCGGTATCTGTCAACTTGCGTTTACCGTGGTGATATCAGGCTGTGGATATCTATAATGCCCGAGAGTCTACTCAATCTTATTTCACTACTGTGAGTCATACCTGTTGAAGATAGCAGGTATGAAAAACCTAGTAGCTTCTAACTATGACTGACCTATCACGTAGGACTTTGCACAGAAGTACAGCTGTTTAAGTTTACCACACTTCCAAAATGGGACACAAAATAAAGGGAGATAAATGTAATGAAACTCTGATGTAGGAAAATTTACTTTAGCGAAAGTAATTAGATGAGAATTAGTGTAGCTTTTCAGCGCCATATCACTAACAGTCTCAACTTCAGACTCTTAATATCCCCCTTGGACATCCAGATGTACAGTCTACACTACTATAATTGACTCAAGCTCTAACAATCACGGTGTTAATAGGTTGGTGTCATGTGTTCTTCTAACCTCGCTCTAACACTTTTCTGATTTAATCCTCTTTCAGATAACATTGCACCTTGTGAAAGACCGTGACTTAGCATGCGTACACATGTCCCGATGGAACTTCACGACCCCATCAGTTGGGTTTGCTTTCTTACTAAACAATATACTCAGCTACATTGCTTTTCTGTTGAGGGGCGGGAATTAGAAGCGGTCGACCGACTTACATTGCTGCAGTGCGTAGCTAGCGTTAACATTTCCATCTTCTCACATCTCCAAGATGAACCCGATTGGGCCATATTTGGCTATCATCAAGCATTTGTCCCCTAGCCTAGACGGTCACGCTGCAAAGTCTGTTTCTATTCTAAAACAAGGAAAGACATTGCGATTTGATTTCAACAGTATTTGAAGAGGGTATTAATGAACTGTTGGCTAGGTTTCCTGAGATACTAAGTAATGTATGGAAATCAGAAGTAGTCCTGTTGTATTGGTGTAAGTCATTGATTGTCCCAGTGTATAAAAAGGTAGACAAATCTTCTTGTGATAATCATGGGGAGATTAACTTCACTAGCATAGTGCCTAGAGTAATAGATTGAATAGTCTTTTTGATAACCTCTGATTATAAAATTTGATTGAATTATCTCATCAACATTGGATTGCCGAGTGAAAAGTGGACAAATGCGAAAAATTATGTTTGTTTGAAACCTAGCGGGATTGAAATTTGTTGGAATTACTCATTCCAATACTGCTGATACAGCCGAGGGTGGATAAGCTTGGGTTTTTCTCTCGAGATGCTCTCATGATGTAACCACGCATTCGTGGCTCCTGCCAGACCAAGTCTTATTCACGCGGTGGTGGTGGGGTTGTTCCTCACAAAAGTGAAAGTTTGCGCTTACAGCCGAACTGCTTGATATACCGGTCCATCAGAGCGAGAGCTGGAAAACCCTGATTCCAGAATCCAAACACTTCAAATGGCGTACTAGTCTCTTTTGGTCACCGTCAGCCATGGAAAGGCTACTCTGCCCCACAGCAAAAGAAAATACCTTAGTAGAAGAAATTCACGGAATTATCATTAGACTCTAACTGTTCCCCTGCGTTATAGACCAAAGTCCATAAAGCGAAGGCTCAGGGTGTAGCCCTTTAACGGAACCATTCGCTCCGGTCTGTCTGGACAGTATTCCAGCCCTCACAAAAACTATGAGATGCACATCTTGGTGCCTATTATAATGTACCTAGCTTGTGTTTTTTATTAATATGAGTAGGTAGTCGTTGAGAGGTGTGTCGTTAGTAAAACTTGTGTACAGTAGTTACATTTATTATAAAGCATAGACACTTCAGTTCAAAGGGGACTGTTCAGCGATTTATTTGTTTTGCATAACTTTTTTTGTATCTATTGTATGCATTGTGCAAATTTCTTAACTTAAACAACATTTTCTTGTAAAAAAAAAACCAGGTATAAAGCACTCATAAATACACTGTCAAAGTTACCGACAGGAACAAAAATCTATTGTGGACACGAATACACATTGAAAAATCTTGAATTTGGTTTGACTGTGGAGCCTAGAAATGAAGTACTTCAACAGAGACTGGAAGCTGTTAAACGTATGCGTGCAACAAATCAACCGACTGTTCCTGGGACAATCGGTGAGGAAAGGGCAACTAATCCTTTCATGCGTGTTTCCGAGCCTGATATTCTGGCACATTGCAAAACTACAGATCCTATCAAAGCTATGAAAACAATACGTGAAGAAAAAGATCGTTTTTAAGGGTGAAGAATAGACGGTGTTTCCAACGATACCGGTTAATTTACTCTGTCATTAGTCATTGTCTACTCACCCTGCAGTCATGTGATGTTTTTCCTAAAGAAAAACTCAGTTTTTTGAGTATATTTTCCCAATAAATTCTTTAAGAGCTAAATTATTTGTTTTCTCGACTGTTTGTACTAAAGATTGTATTAGTTGGGGCTAAGTTAACAGTGTGGTATGCTGTCGCATGTTAGGGAGTATGTAAATTAAAAGAGTATTATTCACTAATCCCTTTGGATATCGATTGGAACATGAAGCTTCAGTAGCACATCTCTATTCGTCATGTTTTCTGCAGCTGGTTCTACAACCTCTCATAAGTCCCCACCTCCTGTATGTCACCCACGAACACCCAACTCGTCGTTACCTATTCGAATTCCAATCGAGTGATGTTACTCAACGTTCATCTTAATGTATGTTAGGTTCAACACCGTTTCCTTTGGGATATTGTTGTTCATCCTTTCTGGCCATTAAACCTTCACTATCAAGACAGCGAATGCAGCAGTCTATGAAAACCTGCAATAGCCTGTTAGAAGTGGTTCTAGTGACGCCTACGCCAAGCCTCTGAACTATATAGAATCGTTGGTAGATTTGACATTAGTGTTGGAAATCCGAATCTTGTTACTTGTGCTGGGTGTATCCGTGCCTATATACATACTTATGTTATTCATTCGCGTTCCTAGTGGAACACAAGACTTCACTCTTGAGCTTTGAATTTGCAGTAGCGTTGGTGTTTATTTTTTACTGGGTGGAATTGCTAGCCTCACGTCCAACCGTCACTCTCTACCAGATTTATTACCGACTAGTCGATGTTTAAGGCGTACATCAGCCTAGAATCGAACTCCGGACTGCGTTCGTGATCGGCGAGCACACTACTACTGTTCACAAGTGATATATATATATATATATACCACCTGTGTACAATTTGAAAATGTATAGTGTTTAAATGTCTAGGTTAATTTAATAACAAAGTATATGGTTTTGAAAGGATGTTAATAAGACGAACGCTTGCAGTAGGCTTACAAGTTAAGGTAATGCTATATTACTAGACTCAGTTATATGTACCAGTTCATGAAAGGTTTTAACACAATCAAGACAGTAAGCCTAGAGAATTCAGGTTAGGTGTATGGATAATATCATGCCTACAATTTGTTAATTCTCGCATTCCGCCTATTATTCTCTATTGTTCCCCCTTAGTTTTTCCCGGGCTACTGAAGAAAGACTATAACATATTACGCAGAATGTTAAAGGTTGTCAGCAGGGTAAGCGACGTGCCACTTAACCAGCTTGTTAATATTCTGGTCGACAGGCGCATGGACTCATGTGAAAAATGGGCCAAATCCACTTTATCTAACTCACACCACCCTCTTCACTCACAACTCTCCCCTTGCATCTCATCAGGCAAAACCAGAAGCCTATATAGAAAACTATATGCTCGCACTAGCAAGTACAAAAACTCAACCATATCCTACTTAGCTCGTGTTCTGTGCGATAAAGAAAGCATTAGCGTGACACCTATAACTTATCAAATAGTCAGTAGAACAGCTGGATCTCGTCTTTCCAACTCATATCATTAATAGGTACAACGTTTTCTTTCTTTCTTTTCCTTTTCTCTCTTTTTTCTGTTACGCGCTGCTTTGTTTCTTTCTCTCGCTTACGCCAGTAAATATGACAGCTCCCACTTTTCCAGCACCTTCAAACACTGTTCAGCTTTACCTCTGCTACCGACATGCCAATGTGTTGTTGTTGTGATAATGAACTGAGATTACCCATAATCTATGTAGAATTTTATTTATTGATAATGTACTAACTGGACGCAGTACTGTAGTAAAAATGCTGAGAATTCCATTCTGTATCACAAGTACTGTTTTGGAATAAAGCAAATTATTATTATTATGTACACATTCAAAATCCATGCTTAGCAAGCAGGGTTCTGTGTAGGTTGGTTGATTTGATGTGCCAGTTTTGTTTACCGAATAATGTTTCCTAGACAATATATCGCTCATAATATAATATCAAAGGAGACATAGAACTCCATATAAGTTTGTTTATTAGATGTATCACACAGTGAAACAGTATTATTTACTGGATGACGTTTTGAACAAAATTTATTGTTCATAATCATATCAATTGTAATCACACGACTTCGAAAGTTGAATTTTATAGTTTTCTTTGTTCTCTCCTATTTGTCGTCGTAGGGGTAGTAGAATTTTCCAGATATCTGTGTGGACAGGTGTTGAATCATTCCCTTCACCCTGTGACATTAGATTTTAAAACGGTCATCCTATTGCATGGTTGTGTGTAATTGCATGCAGTGAGTGCTATAGCTGAACTAACCTGCAGAGAGATACCGATGGGTCCTCCCTATGTACGTGTCTCCACACATACATGTAAATTGATAAACACAGTGGGATGTGACACTATCGTTCGGATGATGTGAAGGTTTACAGGACAGCATAGTTCTCGTTTTCTCTATGAAGATAAGTTTAACTGCATAATAGGTTCTATTAATTGCGGCCTTGAGTCCTTGTCTAGTGACTAGACTTTGTTGATCACCTCTGAACGGCAAAGATATGTAAACATCCTTTTTGGGTGCTGATTGGATTGGTATATTTGGCTGAGTTCTAACACAGAACTTTGCAAATAAAGGGCAGTAGTTCGAACTGCCACACTCTATGTAGCACACAAAGGTAGAGAAAAGGTGAGGGTGATGGAAATAAATTCAAAAGAACTATACATAACAGAAATATGCTGGAGGAAGAATAGTAACATGAGGAAACAAGGGTTTAGTAGATATAAGAAACCACAAGGAGTGGATGAATTAGCGCTGTTGTGCCAGCCAATTTCGGTTCTCAGCATCTCGAGGACCCCAACCAGCAAGCATACACCCTTTTCTACGTGGCTCAAACCAAACTGTCAAAGATTTCATGAACTGTCGTCAACTTATGGTTTGACCCCCAACCCTATGCTAGTTAACACTAGTCGTCGAGGAAGGTTGTGGCTCAGCGGCATTCGCAACGCATGTCCTAACCATCTCAACCGATATAATTTCACAACTTCATGGATTGACTTACCCACTACTTTACGCCCAACTTCAATATAACACAACGCAAACATCTGTGGGCAGAGACGTTGCCCAGCAAATAATAGTGTATCACTCTGCAGTGCACCGAATAAGTGGACTAGCACTAAATGATACTCTGCTTGTGCACTAGAGTTTTGCTTTTGTATATCTCGACGGTCGTTCGTTACCTTAGAAATCACTGCAAAACACATTTCAGTGCTGCATAAAATTTAACACACCGACTACAACCATCGTCATTTCCAAGTGAACAAAGATGGGAAGTCGTTTAACGTGGTGTCTAACATTGCAAACCTGACTGACAGACCTCAGTCGACACTGAAACTAAGGAAGAGGCATATGACGTTGGTTACTTCTTGATGACCAACCAATGTACATCGCAGAATATTTAAAAGCGACAAACAGTATGTATCAATGGGAACTTCATTTATATCACGTACTGTTAGATGAGGGAATGATATTAGTCGCTGAAGTAGTGCATCACCATGAAATAAAACAGCATGAGAAGCAACATTAGATTCAATAGTGACAAGATGAAAAAAAAAGTCAAAGGTTTTAGACCAATCAAAAAACAGTGTGACAGGTTCTCTGAATCACATAATCTTATGTCTGCCCCTGCTAACTGGTAATAACGGTGTTGAACTCGACTGGTACCCTAATATGCCTATTTGCCCGTTGTAATCTCCGATTCCCCGACCGAAAGCTGCTACCTTGACGTGGTGGTCGGGCTTGAACAACGCAATGACCCAACAAGCCATACTGGCTGAGACTTATATCGCTTGAGGTCCTACCATGCCAGAAAGGTTGTTTGGATAGCGGTTAGACAAAAAGCAGCTACCCAAACCAATGCCATGACTCAAAGTAAATCACAAAATATCATGCCGGATCGGTCGGGGACCGGATTAACAAGGACCGCGCTTCCTGCTGCCGTGTCACAGGGCAGAAGTGATAAATATGCTACTGAGACACACCAAATGAAAAAGAACAAAACAAGCCGCGTGTGACCGGCCTCAAGCAGTTGTCCTCTGGGCTCTGCGGTCACGCAACCAACTTCCACGGTGTGGGCAGCCGGGAAGTAGCAATCGCCCTCACAATCCAAAGTGCACGCGAAACCTCTCTAATCCTCACTCATCTTTGTCTTCATCTCTATTATCTTGCCTTCCTTCTGCTAATGCAACTCCTCTACTTGATGGCTCTTCACTCTGTGTCCACTAAAAACGACGGAAGCCGAAAAACCACTACCGATAGTCTCCTAAAGCCACTCCACCAATTTCATATAGGAGCATTTAATGTTGGGACACTTTGCCAAATAGGACAACAAGCATCACTAGCCGAGACTCTGGCATCCCGAGCCATTGATGTACGTTGTGTTTCAGAAACACGCATACAAGACCCAAGTGTGGTTATTCACCTAACCCAACCTGGCCAACAGGATGAATCTGCAAAATTCACTTTGAGGGTGTCAGGAGATGCCACAGCTAGTTCACGAGGATTAGCTGGTGTAGGGATAGCTTTGAGTACTAGGGCAGAAAAGACATTACTTGACTGGATCCCGGTAGATAGCCGAATGTGTGCTGTCCGTCTGAACGGATCAGTGAAAAGGAGAAAGGACTGCGCTACTCGCCGATGCCTTTTCGTAATCTCTGCCTACGCCCCCACTGACTGCAGTTCGGATGAAACGAAGGATGAGTTCTACCAAAAGCTGTCTAGTTTGCTGTGAAAGGCTAAACTCTCAGATATAGTCGTTTTAGCTGGTGACTTTAATGCTCAAGTGGGGAAATTGCGTCAATCTGAGAAGAATGTCGGTGGCACATACGGAATTCCGTGCCAGCGAACCGACAACGGTGACCGTCTCCTACAGTTCTGTTCAGATAATCACTTGTTTCTTGTAAGCACTAACTTCAAACACAGGGAGAGGCACTGTTGAACCTGGCGACCCCCATCATCAAACCAACGCTGGACACAAATAGACCACATAGCAATAAGCTATCGTTGGCGTGGGTCGGTAGGAGATTGTCGCTCCTTCTGGAAC